GCCAGGAGGCCCCCAGGAGGCCCCTCAAGAGGCCCCAGGAGACCCCAGACGTCCAAGGACGCCCCCACGACGCTTCGCGTCACCAATTTCTTCTCACAACGATTCCTGGGTCTGTGACTCGACAGAACCTAAGCGCGCGCGAAGCGCGCGCGTGGTTCTAGTATATATATATATATATATATGTGTCTACGTTGTCGTTTCTTCTCCTACTCTCTTCTCCTACTTTTTCATTGCAGTGCACCGGGCGACTCGGCGGACCAGGCGACGTTCCGGAAAGTGTATTCCCCCCACCGACGATCAGGTTGTAGTCATGTTGTTGGTCGAGGGGTGCTCAGAGTGGAACGAGAAGGAGTAGGAGGAAGAAGAGGAGGTGGAGGAGGAGGAGGATGAGGATAATCAGGTTGTAGTCACGATGTTGGTCGAGGGATGCTCAGAGTTGAACGAGAAGGAGTAGGAGGAAGAAGAGGAGGTGGAGGAGGAGGAGGAGAAGGAGGAGGAGGAGGAGAATCGCAGAGCAGAAAACAGCATAACCTTAAGCATTCGGAGGCCAGCGCTGGAGCACCCCCTGGTGGCGCCGACACACGACATCGGCTTGAGGAATGCTGTATGTGTGCAGTTCTATGCACTCAAGAGAAGCAGCCCCTTCTCCTCCAAGCCCCCTTCGACCCCCCCCCCCCTAGGAGGAGGCAGCAAGACGAGGAGGAAGGGGGGGGAGGAGGAGGAGGAGGAGGCGGAGGAGGAGGAGGAGGAGGAGAGGAGGAGGAGGAGAGGAGGAGGAGGAGGAGGAGGAGGAGGAGGAGGAGGAGGAGCTGTGGTGCGTCACTTTCGGGTTGACCAAGCAGGCTGGCTGCGCCTCTTGACGTCCGTTCGGGACGTGCTGCAGACCTGTCCCCCCCAGCCCTGCTCCAAGCAGCCGCAGGGATCTCCCAGAGCAGAGCGAAGCCCGCCAGGGAGGGCCGCCGCCATCTCGACTGCCCCTCGTCCGACGCCCCCCCGCCCTCCCTGGAAGCCCCCTCGGCGAGGAAAGTCGTGACACCCTGCGCCCCAAAGATCTAGACGCACTGGAGGGCTCACCGAGCTGAGCGCGTGGTTGGGTCGACAAGCGAGGGACTTTGACTTTTGAGCCAAGGAACAGCACGTTGAACAGGACGTGCGCTTTTGCGCAAGGTGTGGTGTGTCATAGGGCGTGTCAGGACAAAAAAGGTCCCCCCTCCCCGGGTTCGGGCCGAGGAGTGTATGCGGGGCAGCTCCGGCAACCCGCAGCTCCTGGAGAAGCAGGCGGAGCTCTTCAACTCCGTCGGCGAGGCGCCCCCACTCAGAGGAGCAGGAGGCCACGACGCGGACCAGTGCGGCGCGGCACTGCGAGGATTTTCTCAGATTTCCGATCTGCTTCCTTGGGGCTCCAGAGGTCGAAGAAGAAACAGCGTCGGCATGAACATCAACTTACTGAGCTCCGCGTGGATTTCTTGGATCATTTGCGCTGGGCCCCCGCAGGCGGCGCCTGCGGCGCCGCCGCCTGGCGCCGATCCAAGAAATCCGCGCGAACCTCCGAGACATGTTCTTCATGCACTTGTTTTGTGTTCCGCTATGGGAAGTATCCTGAGCCAGTCGTATCGCCACATCGTTCGGGTAGGAGACCGACGACACAATTGATCTACTCCAGACTTGTTCCGTCGACTCTACAAACAAGTACGTCGAATGTATGTATATCTTCGAGCACTCTCAGTACCCGTTTTTCCGTATATTCGACGAGCAACAATTTGGGGGTACATCAGCTTTGTAATCGATTCCCTGCTTCTCGATCGATGGGAAGTATCCTGTCGGCGGCGAGCGAGGGGGGGAAGTGACAAGGAAAAGGCCTTCTCAGAAGACTCGGAAGCTTCCCCGGCCTCCTGAGAAGGTTCTCGAGCCTTCCCCGAAGACACATGACATCATTCAGAAGGCGCGAGGGTTTCTCTAAGCAGTTCCGCCGCCTCCTGAGAAGGCCTTCTCCTACAGTCGGGGCCCTGAAGAATGAGCCCTTTTCGTTGGGGAGGGGCTCGGTGTTCCTTAAGTGTTTCGCAGCTTGCCTCAGTTTGTCCTTGTGGTTTTGATCGGACATCGAAGTTTAACTTATGGAAAAAAGGGGCCTCGTTCCTTATTTTGGGTTCCTTAGGTCAATGCCCCGACTGTATTCACTCCCCCCCCCTCGCTCGCCGCCGATCCCGAGCCAGCCGTGGCATGCCACCGCGGGAGCCGCCCCTCCAGGCCCACGCCTCGAGAGGTGGAGCAGCAGCAGCAGCAGCAGCAGCAGCAGCAGCAGCAGCAGCAGCCCACCGTGAGCCTCTCTGGGGATCTGCCGGGCGCGGCCCCCCGGGCAGGATGCTGATGCGCTGCTCTGGACGCCCGAAATGGGTACGGAAATAACGGGTACAATGCCCAACAGCAGATCCTGTTCATTTTGAACAGGACTCGCTGTCCACACCGCCGCGGCCTGTGTCCACTTGAGACAGAAGGCCGCCCGCCCAACAGCGGCCGCTGTTGGTTTGGAACAACATTTGTTGTTGGGCATTGTACCCATTTTTTCCGTACCCATTTCGGGCGTCCAAAAGGATGCCGATGCGCTGCCGAGGTGCAGGCTGCGCGGTGCGGACTGCGCGGTGCGGATGGCGCGGTGCAAGCTAGCTGTGTGGTGCAAGCGTTGTGGTGCATGCTTCCAGGCCTCCCAGATGTGGTCGGAGTAAAAGGGGGTCAGAGGATCGCGCCGCATCGCCGATGCATCGGCGATGCGGCTCGATGCGGAGCCCGATTTTCTCCACGCCGACGTCGCCGATGCGTCGCCGACGTCGGCGATGCATCGCCGATGCATTGGCGACGCGGCTCGATCCTCCGACCCCACCTGCTCGGACCCCATCCAGGAGGTCTCTGATGCTGCGTGGTGCAGGCTGCCTGGTGCAAGCTGCGTGGTGCCCGTGTGGTACAGTGGAGACCCATGCCAAGAAACACCCTGCTTGCCTCCAGGGTGCCCCCGGGGTCTCAGGGTTTCTGGTGGAAGGCTTCTTGTGGTCGAGCCGCCACCGTGGAGGCTCCGTGCGCGCCCACGGGGCGCCCTTGGACCAGCCTCGCGGGCGGCAGAGTGTGGCGAGAAGCCTCGGCACGCGGTGTTCTGCCGCGAGGCGCCCGCGGACGGCCACGGGTGGCCACGTGGCGAAACCTCCGTGTTCCAATCCAATTCCTGCCTCTCCCTCCCCTCCCTTTCCAGTTCCTTCTGTTTTTGTTCCCCCCTTCCCTCGGTATTCCAATCCACTTCCTGGGTTTCCCCCCTTCCCTTCCCTTTCCTTCCGGCCCTCCCCCTTCCCTCCCATCCCCTCCCCTCCCCGTCCCCTCCCCATCCCCTCCCCCCTCCCCATCCCCTCCCCTCCCCTCCCCTCCCCCTTTCCTTTCCTTCCTTCCCTTCCCCTTCCCCCTTCCCTTTCTCGCAGCCCCTGCAGCTCCCCCTGCTCAGTCGTGGCGGACAGGCCCCGAGGTCCCGCCGGGGGCACGGGGACAAGTGTGATCAAACACAAGTGTGATAAACCCAACTGTGATCAAAGAAACATCGTCTGGTCGGCGTGGGGCCGAGAGCACCCGGAGACCAGCGTGATGCTCTCCGCGATGGCGGCGCAGGCGGCCAGGCGCCGTGGGCTGCGTGGCCGCCAGCTGCTCCTCCGGAGGGTCCAGTGCGCCATCGGCGTTCAGCTGGCGCGACGCGCCGTTCGGATGCTGCGCTCCTGTGTGCCGCACGTCGAGGAGGAGGCGGAGGAGGAGGAGGAGGAGGACGCGGCGCTCTTCGGCAGCTGCCGCGACGTCGGCGTCCGGCACGAGCCGCGGGCGCTCTGGCTCCGCGCCGGCGACGCAGACGCGAGGCCCGGCGAGGCGGAGGGGGCGCCGGGCGCGACGGAGCTCCGCAGCCCCAGGCAGCCGCCCAGCGGCGCGGGCCTGGGTCTGGCCGGGGAGTCCAGCCTGGCGCCGGCGACGCCCCGCGGCAGCTCGCCCGAACCGGTTGGGGAGGGTGGCGCTGGGCCCGCGCCTGCCCCGCCCCTGCCGCCGCCGCCGCTGCCGCCGGCGCTGGGCCGCCTGGCCGCCTTGCGCCTTGTTTGCGGCGCTGGGCCGCAGCCGAGCGACCTCTGAGAGGGGTGTGCTGAGGGCTGGAAGGGTCGCCCTAAAATCCGCCCCGTTTTAGGCTGACCCTTCCAGCCATCTCTGGGATGCCTGTCATCCTTCCGAACGAAGAAAAGGGGTGATGCCAAAACAAGTGTGGAAACATTTGTTCGTTTTTCTGTTACACTTTTGTATCGCATGTGCTTTTTAATCACATGTGTCGGATCTTGTTTCATCCCACTTGTTAGGACGCCCGAACTATATCAGAGCTCAGTAACGCAAGCCGAAAGTGCAAATACTATCCTTGGATCCACCGGGCGACCTTGCAGACGGGGGTGGGCGCCGTGACTCGGAGGCTCGATGGTTCGAGGATCGAGTTTTTTTTTGATGGGGGCATCCTGGCCTGCCGCCTCCGCCGCCGCTGCCGCCGCCTCCGCTTCCTCCTCCGCGTTTGGCTTCCCGTGCGGCCCTTGACGGGCCCCAGGGCCGTCAACGAAACGACGCGGGACGAGGAACAGGTTCTGGTGAGAACGTCTGGACCTCCGACACGAAAGTTTCGGGGGCCCGCGCAGTCTTCTTGGGTCGGCGCTGGACCCCCCCTTCCGTGAGGCTTGCTTTGTTTGTTACCCCCTCCCCCTTGGGGCGACAACGGCCGTTGCCGGGGGGAAGGGGCCCGCGAGGAGAGGACGTTCGCGGGGGGTGCCCGCGCGGGGTTCGGGGAGGAACATCCTGGCTGTGAGTTGCTTGTAACGACGACGACGAAGACGAATGCAGGAAGGGGCCTGGTCATGACAACGAGGAAGAGGAGGTGGAGGAGGAATTCGCAGGCGATACTTGGGTGGGGATGCTGAGGGTAAGGGGCCTTTGCCTGCTCCGGGAAGGTGGCGTTGGAGGCCTACGTGGAACTCCGCAACCAGTCGGGCCCCGAGTTGACCGCCCTGGCTGCGGTGGCACACCGTGTCATGCTCTCTGCATAGATCGCAGAGGGACGGTGGCAGCGAAGGGAGGGAGACAAATTAGGGGAACGAGAGGGAACGACTGGTGGAGATTTGAAGGGAAGGATTGAGGGACATGAGCGGGATGGGGGGTAGGTGATAATGACGTACGTAGTTTTCGCGCTGTCCAGGTCACATCTTGAACCACCTTTTTTTTTTTTTTTTTTTTTTTTTTTTTTTTTTTTTTTTTTTTTTTTTTTTTTTTTTTTTGTTAAAAAAAACAAATCATATATATATATATATATATTGTTGTACTAACCATGGTTTTCTGTCCGACGTTGGGGATATTCATGAATACGTAAATGGCCAGCATCTTGCATCAACGGGTATGCGCGTGATAAAGCGAATGGGCACATAAACGATCAAGTGGAGCTGTATGGAAGTATCGCTCTGAAGCGATTTGTCTTGATGTGGCGCGACATGACACAGCACGCAATGATCCCGCATGGCGTGACCATGAAATATTCGATGGGCGAAACATAATCTGGCACTTGTGTACACACACGTACATACATGCCTGCCTGCCTGCATGCCTGCATGCATTCGTACACATGCATACATACAGACACACATGCATACATCCATCCATCTATACAAGCATACACACATACACACGTACGTGCATACATACACCACCATACATACACACATACACGTACACATACACATACATACTTACACGCATGCATGCACACGCGCAGACACACATACACACAAACACACACATGCACACAATCAAACATACACACATACACACATACGCATATGCATACATACATACATACGTACGTACGTACAGGCACACAGACACAGAGACAGACAGACAGACAGACAGACAGACAGACAGACAGACAGACAGACAGACAGACAGACAAACAGACAGACAGACAGACAGGCAGACAGGCAGACAGACAGACAAACAGACAGACAGAGACAGACAAACAGCCATGCATACGTGCATATATGCATACATGCATACACACATACATACAAGACTGCATTTGGCGCTTCGTGACAGGCACCTTGCTCCTTCACGTCCAACATGCAGGCACACTGCCAGATAACCCTTTAGCATATTGCTGCTCCCTCTCGTTCCCTCATGTGTCCTCTTCCTCTTCCTCTTCCTCGTTCTAGCCTTATCGGCCCCGCGAACCTTTCGCGGTCCTTAAAATTTTGTTTGCGGAGGCTTCTCCACGGTGAGCTTCTGTCGCGAAAGGTTTTTAGGGTCTCCTTGTGCGCCTCGGGAGACGTTCCTGGCGCCTTTTGGAGGCCTCTTGGGGGGTTACTCAAACCACCATGCCGCGAACCGTGATCTCGGGTCACGGTTGGAATTGTTCCGGAGAGCGTTTGGGGGAAATTTTGGCCCGTCACGGGTTCTATTTTGGGCAGTTTCTGAGCTGGCGCGATGAGTTCGGCCTTTGACTTTGAGAAGGAGGGGTGGGTTGTAAATTGCCGATGGCTTCTTCAGAGGGCCCAGAGGTTCTGAGCAGCCTCGTGGGAGCTCTGATGAGCCCCCCTGCCTCCTTGCCTTCTGGAAATTTTCTTGCCTCCTTAGAAGTTCCCTTGCCTCCCAAGAAGTGCCATTGGCTCCTTAGAACTTCCCTTGCCTCCTTAGAAGTGGGAACCTTCTCAGAAGTTCTCTTGCCTCTTCAGAAGGCGTCCCCTCTCGCGCTGCTTCCGGGTGTGCGTCGCCAGGTGGTGGTGCTGCAGTGGCCCCCTGTTAGGAGGCTTCTTGATTTCGGAGGCGGCCAGGAGGGGGGTGACATTTAGCAGGGCTGGACCTAAGCGCTGTGTTGCTGGACTTCGGCTGTGTTCCGTTTTTCGTTTTGGCAGGGAGGTACAGGAAAACAGGTAGAGCGAACCGAACAACAAATCGAACACAAAACGAAAAACAACGTTTAGGTCCAGCCCTGATGACTAATTCGGGAGGGTGGATATCATGGCGTGGGCCATGATATTTCCTCCGATTTCATGCCGCCGGCCATGATTTGCGCCCCCCCCTCTTGGACGCCCGCCTCTTGGCCGCTACCGGTGATCAGCAGGTCGACCCTGCGACATCGAGGGTCCTGACTCGTTGTCGCGCTTCGAGTCCTCATCATGGGTGCGGTTATCGGACCCTGGGTGTCCCCTGCACTCGTCCACGGCCGCGGAGGACATCAGAGCAGCATTCACAGAAGCTTTCGGAGGTCCGTACGGTTCGGCGCCGGCGCTGGGTCTCCCTCCCCGCACCCCTGGCGGCGCTTCTGGCGCCTCCCCAGGCGCGCTCCACGCGCTTGAAGTGGTCTTCATGCCTCCCTCCTCCTTGCTACTCTTGCGCTCCAGGCGGCGTGGGATTTCGTCAAGGCCCTCATGCCTTTCGTCTTCTTAATATTTGCGCATCAGGAGCCCGCCGGGATCGCGAAAATGAGGATGAGGAGTTGCTGGACGACGACGACAATGAGCAGAAGGAGGACCTCAAGGAGGAGGACAGGCAGGAGGAGGAGACGGAGGAGGAGGAGGCGGAGGAGGAGGAGGAGGAGGGAGGATGGAGGAGGAGGAAGGGGGGAGATGATGAGGATGATGCTGATGCTGATGGTGTTGGATGTGATGATGACGAATATGGTAACGATGGTGATAACGATGGTGATGCCGATGGTTCTGGTGACGAAGATGAGGATAATGATGCGGATGCTGACGATGGCGATGATGATGACGATAACAGCGGCGATGGCGATGACGACGATGGCGATGGCGATGGCGATGACGATGATGCTGCTGCTGATGATGGTACTGGCGACGATCACGATGATGACGATGAAGTTGATGATGACGATGGTGTTGATGATGCTCAGCACGATCGCGATGATCATGATGACGACTCCGATGATGATGAGGATGATGATGATACTGGTGATGATGAGGATGATGAGGATGGTGCTGCCGATGTCGATGACACTGACGACGTCGATGACGATGATGCTGCTGATGATGATGACGATCATGATGAGCATGCTGATGATGCTGACGATGATGATGATGATGATGATGATGATGATGATGATGATGATGATGCTGCTGATGATGGCGTTGCAGACGCCGCCGCCGACGATGATCATGATGGTATTGTTGATGATGCTGAAGATGATGAGGATGATGACGATGGCGATGATGATGACGATAACAGCGGCGATGGCGATGACGACGATGGCGATGGCGATGGCGATGACGATGATGCTGCTGCTGATGATGGTACTGGCGACGATCACGATGATGACGATGAAGTTGATGATGACGATGGTGTTGATGATGCTCAGCACGATCGCGATGATCATGATGACGACTCCGATGATGATGAGGATGATGATGATACTGGTGATGATGAGGATGATGAGGATGGTGCTGCCGATGTCGATGACACTGACGACGTCGATGACGATGATGCTGCTGATGATGATGACGATCATGATGAGCATGCTGATGATGCTGACGATGATGATGATGATGATGATGATGATGCTGCTGCTGATGATGGCGTTGCAGACGCCGCCGCCGACGATGATCATGATGGTATTGTTGATGATGCTGAAGATGATGAGGATGATGATGCTGCGGATGATAACGATGATGCTGCTGATGATGATGTTGATGATGGTGCTGACGATGTCGATGACAACAAAGACGCCGACGACGATGATATTATTGCTGCAGATGGTGACGACCATGATGATCATGCTGATGATGACGACGACGATGTTGATGATGCCGCTGGTGATGATGGCGATGCCGACACCGCCACCGACGACGACGATGATGATTTGGTTGATGATGATGCTGAAGTTTGTGATGCAAATGATGATGATGATGCTGATGATGATGGTGACGTTGATACGATGGTGACGACGATGACGATGACGACTTCGATGACGATGATGACGATGTTGCTCCTGATGATGAGGACGACGTTCATGATTATGCTGATACTGACGATAGTAGTGATGCTGATGCTGCTGCTGCTCATTGTGTTGATGCTGCTGATCGACGGTGATGCTGATGAATTATACGACGGCGACGGCAGCAGCGTTGACGACGACGATGATGCTGACGCTGATGATTATGCTGATGATGCTGATGTTGATGATGATGTTGATGATGATGATGCTGATGACGATGATTATGATGCCGCTGATGATGATGATGACGATGATTGTGATGATGGTGTTGATGATGATGGTGATGATGATGGCGATGCTGATGCTGATGATGATGATGATGATGACGATGCTGCTGCTGCTGCTGATGATGATGATGATGATGATGATGATGATTATGCTTATTATCATTATTATTATTATTATTATGATTATCATTATTATTATTATTATTCTTATTACTATTATTAATAATAGTAATAATATTTTTGTTATTATGATAACGATGATGCTGGTGACGGTGATGATGATGATGCTGATGATGATGATTCTGATGCTGATGATGAGGATCAGGTAAGGACGAGGATGAGGATGAGGATGAGGATGAGGATAAGGAGGAGGAGGAGGAGGATGACGAGGACTGTGGGGTGGTAGTGGCGGTGATGATTGTGATGATGAGGGTTGGGTTGTGATTTGGAGGATGCACCCGTGTAGCTGGACACCCGAATTTATCCTGCTACTCTTCCTCTTTGGTTGCCTCCTTTCTAGCCGTTCTCATCCTTCATCGTCTAGTTTTTCTCCTCTTACTGATACTCCTGCTGCTTCTGCCCCTCCCCTCTCCCCCCTCCCATGTCATCTTCCTCAATGCCGTTACCATTCCCCCTCGTCTTCCTTCTCGTTCTCCATTATTCCTCCCCTCCCTCCTCCTCCCTCTCTTCTTCCTCTCCGCTTCCTCTTCGGTCGCTATGCTCTTCCTCTTCCCGTTCCTCTTCTTCCAGCCGCCGTCCCTCCTTCCTCCCTCGTTGCTCCTGCTATGGACGAATACCCCCACGCAGCGAATCGACCACAGAGCGTTGCAGAGGTAGTGACAGCCGCACTGCTTGGATCCAGCTCCTACTGCCGAGCATCGGCGGGGACACGCGAGCCGCCCCGGAGCGGCGCCCGCGAGCAGAGCTCGTGGCCGAGGCCGCTTCGCAGGCGTCCCGAGCCAGGATCCCCATGCCGCCGTTCCTTCCGCCCGGGGTGGTCCCTTTCCGCTCCCGCCTCCGCCCTCCGCCTCAAGAGGAGGAGAAGGCACCCCCTCGTTTTCCCATTTTTGGGGGTCTCCAGGGGGACCCTCGTCGCTACCGCTGGACCCGCTACGAAGTTCTGGTCAGAGCGCACCCCCGGAAAGGTCCTGGGAGTAGCGGTGTCGATATCCAAGTGATGGGGGCTGAACCGAACGGTCATTCATTGTCCCTGGGTGCGTGGCTGAAGTGGAATTCCGCGATGCGGATTCTGGTTGTTGTTGTTGTTGTTGTTGTTGTTGTTGTTGTTGTTGTTGTTGTTGTTGTTGAACATTATTACTTCTAAAGAATAATTATTGTTGGGGCCCCTGGTGCACGACCCCCCCGCCGCGCCTAGGCCGCAGCCTCATTTTCATCATTTTCGTGAGGAAGTCTCAGGCAAAACGGGGGAGTCCGGATCCGGTTGTGTTGTTACGATCGGTTTTCCCTTGCAAAAAATAAGCTAAAGTGGACATTTCTTGTTCTAACATAACCAAACTTCAAGAATCCCTTGCAAAAAATAAGGTAAAGTGGACATTCGCGCGCGCAAGACGAAATCCTTCCAAAACCTTAGTTTTCGTAGCGATTTTAACATAAAAACATCAAAAAACCAATGGTTTTTCAAAAAAAAAATGTCAAAATTTCATCCCGCGCGCTCTTGCGGATTCGTAGGAAACCCAACACTTTTTAATCATTTCTGTCAAACGGGCTTTTGCGAGCAACTTTTTCGAACTTCTGCAACAACGGTTGCGCACCTGCCAGGGCCATCATCCCTGTCAAATAATACCATGCGGGACACATTCGTTTTTTCTTCGCGCGCGCACGCCGTCGTCGTCGGCCGCGGGGCCCTGAATAGTAGCCACGGTCGTCCGCATGCCACGAAGTGAAGTGTCCGAACGTCATAGGGCGGGAAGCTGGGTGTGGGTGGTGGCGAAGAGTCGTTTGGAAATTTGGTAGAGCTTGAACCGGCCCCCCCACAAAGTGGGGGTATTGCCCGCCTCCTATGAAAACCCTGGCACTGGTGAGAACGGAGTGTCCCCACGTGCTAGTAATTGTTGTTGTTTGTTGTTGTTGAACATTATTAGTTCTAAAGAATAATTATTGTTGGGCCCCTGGTGCACGACCCCCCCGCCGCGCCTAGGCCGCAGCCACATTTTCATCATTTTCGTGAGGAAGTCTCAGGCAAAACGGGTTGGTCCGGATCCGGTTGTTTTGTTACGGCCCGCTTTCCCTTGCAAAGCAATAAGCTAAAGTGGACATTTCTTGTTCTAACATAACCAAACTTCAAGAATCCCTTGCAAAAAATAAGGTAAAGTGGACATTCGCGCGCGCAAGACGAAATCCTTCCAAAACCTTAGTTTTCGTAGCGATTTTAACATAAAAACATCAAAAAACCAATGGTTTTTCAAAAAAAAATTGTCAAAATTTCATCCCGCGCGCTCTTGCGGATTCGTAGGAAACCCAACACTTTTTAAACATTTCTGTCAAACGGGCTTTTGCGAGCAACTTTTTCGAACTTCTGCAACAACGGTTGCGCACCTGCCAGGGCCATCATCCCTGTCAAATAATACCATGCGGGACACATTCGTTTTTTCTTCGCGCGCGCACGCCGTCGTCGTCGGCCGCGGGGCCCTGAATAGTAGCCACGGTCGTCCGCATGCCACGAAGTGAAGTGTCCGAACGTCATAGGGCGGGAAGCTGGGTGTGGGTGGTGGCGAAGAGTCGTTTGGAAATTTGGTAGAGCTTGAACCGGCCCCCCCACAAAGTGGGGGTATTGCCCGCCTCCTATGAAAACCCTGGCACTGGTGAGAACGGAGTGTCCCCACGTGCTAGTAATTGTTGTTGTTGTTGTTGTTGTTGTTGAACATTATTAGTTCTAAAGAATAATTATTGTTGGGACCCCTGGTGCACGGCCCCCCCGCCGCGCCTAGGCCGCAGCCACATTTTCATCATTTTCGTGAGGAAGTCTCAGGCAAAACGGGTTGGTCCGGATCCGGTTGTTTTGTTACGGCCCGCTTTCCCTTGCAAAAAATAAGCTAAAGTGGACATTTCTTGTTCTAACATAACCAAACTTCAAGAATCCCTTGCAAAAAATAAGGTAAAGTGGACATTCGCGCGCGCAAGACGAAATCCTTCCAAAACCTTAGTTTTCGTAGCGATTTTAACATAAAAACATCAAAAAACCAATGGTTTTTCAAAAAAATGTCAAAATTTCATCCCGCGCGCTCTTGCGGATTCGTAGGAAACCCAACACTTTTTAAACATTTCTGTCAAACGGGCTTTTGCGAGCAACTTTTTCGAACTTCTGCAACAACGGTTGCGCACCTGCCAGGGCCATCATCCCTGTCAAATAATACCATGCGGGACACATTCGTTTTTTCTTCGCGCGCGCACGCCGTCGTCGTCGGCCGCGGGGCCCTGAATAGTAGCCACGGTCGTCCGCATGCCACGAAGTGAAGTGTCCGAACGTCATAGGGCGGGAAGCTGGGTGTGGGTGGTGGCGAAGAGTCGTTTGGAAATTTGGTAGAGCTTGAACCGGCCCCCCCACAAAGTGGGGGTATTGCCCGCCTCCTATGAAAACCCTGGCACTGGTGAGAACGGTGTGTCCCCGCGTGCTAGTAATTGTTGTTGTTGTAGTAGTAGTAGTAGTTTTGTTGTTGTTGTTGATGATGGTGGTGTTGTGGTTGTTGTAGTAGTAGTAGTAGTAGTAGTAGTGTAGTAGTAGTAGTAGTAGTAGTAGTAGTAGTAGTAGTAGTAGTAGTAGTAGTAGTAGTAGTAGTAGTAGTAGTAGTAGTAGTAGTAGTAGTAGTAGTAGTAGTAGTAGTAGTAGTAGTAGTAGTTGTTGTTGTTGTTGTTGTTGTTGTTGTTGTTGGTGTTGTTGTTGTTGTTGTGGTTGTTATGGTTGTTGTTTCTTGTTTTTTGTTTGTTGTTTGTTGTTTGTTGTTTTTATTTTGGTTGTTTGTTATTGTCGTCGTTCCACCCGCGACCCGTTCCGCCACCCACCCCGCGACCCACCCCGCGAACCATCCCGCGACCCACCCGCGACCCAACCCGCGACCCGCCCGCGACCCACCCCGAGACCCCACCGGCGACCCATCCACGACCCACCGGCGAACCTCCCGCGACCACCCCGCGACCCACCCGCGACCCACCCGCGACCCACCGCGACCCACCCGCGACCCACCCGCGACCCACCCGCGACCCACCCAAAATCTTCGGCGCTTGCGGCGGGCTCCTTTTGCATTCTTTCCAGGTGGAGAACCTGCGACCTACCCGCGACCCAAACCGTGCCCGCCCGCGACCCACCCGCGACTCACGGGCGACCCACCCGCGACCCACCCCGCGACCCACCCAAAATCTTCGGCGCCTGCGGCGGGCTTCTTTTGCATTCGTTCCAGGTGGAGAACCTGCGACCCACCCGCGACCCAAACCGCGTTCAGTGTACAAATCACAATTTTCGGCGCCTGCGGCGGGCTGTTTTTGAAATCCTTCCAGACCCGCGACCCAAACTACTTTCACTGAACAAGTCAAAACTTCGGTGCCTGCGGCGGGTTTCGTTTACATTCGTTCCACGTGGAGAGCCTGCGACCCAAACCGCGTTCAGTGTACAAATCACAATTTTCGGCGCCTGCGGCGGGCTGTTTTTGAATTCCTTCCAGGTGGAGGTGGAGAGCCCGCGACCCACCCGCGACCCAAACTACGTTCACTGAACAAGCCAAAAATTCGGCGCCTGCGGCGGGCTGTTTTTGCATTCGTTCCAGGTGGCCCACCAGCGATCCCCCCCGCGCTGAACTTGTCAGAGCACGACGACGACGATGAGGACGAGGACGCGGACGAGGAAGAGAGGAGGAGGAGCAGGAGGAGGAGGAGGCGGAGGAGGAGGAGGAGGCGGAGGAGGAGGAGGAGGAGGAGGAGGAGGAGGAGGAGGAGGAGGAGGGCGCCATCGACAGGGAAGGTGAGGGCCACGAGGTCCGCTGGCTCGACGCCCGCGTCGCCCGCGCCCGCCCTCTCACTCTTATCCGCAATTGCGGGGTGCTACGTAGCGACACCTGTTCTGTTGGAGTTGTGGGTCTTACTGTTCGAAGAGGCTGTGGCATCTCTTCAAGACACATGCAGGTGGCCTTGAGAGTTCTTTTTATTTGGAGCCTGCGAGGCAGGCCTCAAGGGTTGCGCCGTGCCTCTCGTGTCGTTTCAGAGCGCCGGCGGGAGACCTAGCTGGCGCCTCTATGTTTGTATCCCTGCATTATCCTCCTTTCGGGACGATCGAAATTGATACGGAAAGAATGGGTACGATGCCCAGCAGCAGTTCCTGTTCATTTTGAGCAGGACTCGCTGTCCGCGCCGCCGCAGACGTCGTTCCTTGAAGACAAAATGCCGCCTGCCCAACAGCGGACGCTGTCGGTTTGGGCAATATATGTAATTGGGCATTGCGCCCATTTTTCGTACCCACTTCGGGCGTCCAAGTGTTTTTTCCCCTTCATCCTCTTCGTGCGTGTCCCGGGCAAGACCTGCCCCACCCCACGTGCGGGCGAGGCTCCTGGGTGACGAGTGCCTGGGGAGCACGGCATGTTGGCGTCGTGTCGGCCGGCGGCGTCCCAGCCCCCAGCGTTCAACGATGAACGCCGCCAGCGACCCAGAATCGACCCATCGTCGAACGTTCCAGCGTTTCTGAAACGGCCGATCGTTTGAGGTCGAGCGGTCCCCGCGGTTGCAGGAACCCGCGCCGGGGTCGACACGGCGGGAACTTGCCGTAGAGGGGCGTCGAGAAGGAACAAACCCACCACCCGAAGGCCAAAGAAGTCTCGGCGGTGGCCGAATAGGCCGCGCTTTCGAGTGATCCTGATGGTAGCTCATGTTTGTACCCCCTCTTCCCTGTCCGCTTCCTGCCCTCGAAGAAGAAAACATTGTGGCGCTCCGTGCGGATTTCTTCGATCCGCGCTGGGCACCTCTGGCGGTGCCTCCGGCGCCGCCCCTTGCGCGCTCCGCGTGCCAGGGAGGGTCCAGCGCGGATCCAAGAAGTCCGCGCGGAGTGCCGACAGTTCTCGTTTATGCCGTTTTCTCTTCCGCCGTCCGCTTCCTGCCCCCCCTCGTCCTGCTCCCGCTCCTCGAGTTCCTCCTCGCTCGCCTGCTCGCTAACCTGAGGGCAGCCGTGTTCGAACCCTGTGCGCAGGGCGAGGAAGGCGAAGTCAAGGCTCTCTCTCTCTCTCTCTCTCTCCTCCTGATCGCCCCCTTCGTCGTCCGCGTCCTCCTCTCGGCCTCCTTCTTCTTTCACTTGCGAGCGTCTTCCTCCTTGGCGTCCTCCTCCTCTTCCTCGGAGACCCGAACGCGAGGATTATCAGATAGCAGGCTCGGTGGAGCCTTACTTGACGCACTTTTTCCGCGAGGTCAAGGCTTTGGTTGCCATTGCATGCGCCAGTGCCCCTTGAATACGATAATGGTGCTGACAGGGTGGAGAGCGAGGTGAGGGGGGACGAGCAGGGACGACGGGGCGAATTGGAGCACACCTGGCCCGACTGTCTCAGACACCAGTTCCATGACTATCGGGATTTTCATTGGGGGGAGAAACGGGCACACTCGAAAGGGATAACCATACTCTGTTTGCCAGCGTAGACCCGACACATTGCGTCATTGCAGTATGGTTGCGTAGTATCGGTGGCGCAATCTCTGTGGCGCAATGTACGTGGTGCAATATACGCGTTGCAAGCTGCGTGGTGCAAAATGTGTAACGCAAGCTAGGTGGTGCAGTCGATGTGGTGCATACTATATGTTGCAAGCTGTGTGGTTCAATGTGTGGTGTGGGGAGCAAAGTACGTGGGGCCATGCATGTGGCGTACGCAATGTGGTGTGCGCAACATGGCGCAACTTACAGCGGACCACATGTGGGCACCCACGTGCGCCCACCAGGCGAACCCCCGGCGGACCCAGCCAGCGCACGGGGCGCCCACGAGGCTCACACGGCCGCAGGTAGGAATCCCTTGGTGCAAGCACTGTGTGGGGGGAAAACTTTGCGATACACTTTGCGATACGAACTTCATCTTGGCGAGCTCTTCCAGCTCCCAAGATGGCCTCTCCTTCCTCTCCTTCCTCTCCTTCCTCTCTGGCCTCCGCTAGCGTCTATGTTTGTTTAGTCGAAAAGTGCGTCTTCCGATTTCGTACGTGTTGTTTGACACTTCTCCATAGCCTGCGTGTAGTTGTTGCCGAGTCGTTCTGGGCGCTTTGGAGGGTCCTTTGGAGAATTTTTCTTCACATCCTATGTGGGTTTCTTGTTTACTTTGGACACCCCGCGCTGTCGAAGGCCCCAGTCGGGGTGGGCGCATGCGGTTCCCTCACTCAGGGCAGCGCTTCGTGGCCCCATGGGGAGCTCCACCGAAGGTCCCAGTGGAGGGGGGCGCATGCGGTTCCCCCACCCAGGGCAGTTCTTCGTGGCCCCATGGGGAGCTCCACCGAAGGTCCCAGTGGGGGGGGGCGCATTCGGTTCCCCCACCCAGGGCAGCGTTTCGTGGCCCCATAGGGAGCTCCACCGTAGGCCCTAGCGGGGGGTGTCCGCATGCGGTTCCCCCACCCAGGGCAGCGTTTCGTGGCCCCATGGGGAGCTCCACCGAAGGCCCCAGTGGGGGGTGTCCGCATGCGGTTCCCCCACCCAGGGCAGCGCTTCGTGGCCTCATAGGGAGCTCCACCGTAGGCCTCAGTGGGGGTGTGGTGTCCGCATGCGGTTCCCCTACCCAGAGGTAGCGCCACCGAAAACGATATTCATATTTGCGGTATTCACGACTGCATATGGTTGGGTCCTTCTCCAGGGTAATTATATGTATTTGTATATATATATATATATATATATATGCACATATACATATACATATTCATATATCTATGTATATATTGTAGTGGCCTCCGGCCAGTGCCGCCGATCCGGGGCGCTCCTGATGCTATTGTTGTTGGAATGGACGATGGCGACGACAGCGGACGACCAATGGTCGACGAGCAGGATAAGTACGACGACGACCGACGATGGAGTTCATGACGACGAACCGACGACGACGACGACGACGACGACGACGACGACGACGACGACGACGACGACGACGACGACGACGACGACGACGACGACGACGACTGACGGCGAACGGCTGCCGACGGCCGACGACCGACGACTGGTGACGGCGACGGGTGGAAGGTTCTTCGTTCATCGCTTTCGCTTCCGAGCAATACCAAGTCAGGCCGTGCGCCTCTGGCCTGGCAGCACGCGAGTGAGCGCCTTTTGGGGCCTCTTGGTTCTTGGGGCTTTTTGGGGGCCTTTGGGCCTCTTGGGGGCCTCTAGGGGTCCTCTTGGGGGCCTCTTGGGGACCTCTTGGGGGCCTCTGGGGGCCCCTTGGGGACGCCTCGGGGGCATCTTGGGGGCTCTTGGGTTCATCTTGGGGTGGAGGACTAGAAGGGTCCGTTCGGGTTCACCCTCTTGAGGCTAGACATTATTCATGTATCTATGTATAAATTCACACACTTGCATGTACAAGGCGGAGCCTGTCGGCCATTTTCACGGGGAGTTCGAACAGCGCCGTCAGCGCGATTAACGAGATGCCGCTGTCCATGGCGGAGGCGCTCAAGTTCGCCCGGCCCTCTTGACAGCGTGTGCGCCCTGAGAAGATTCAGGGCTGGGCCGCCAACGGCGAGGAGATGTGCGACTGCCCAGATTTCAACATCGACAGCAAACCGCTCACCGTCCACAGTTGCATCGAGCTGGCGCGCAACAAGGTGGTGGCCCGCGGGCCGCAGGCCTCCTCGTAGCTCGGTGCGCGCAGCGAGCATGGGTGGCCCCGGCTTGCGAGGGCCCGACGGCTGCCGCTCGGCTTCGCGGAGACGGTAGAACATGCGCGATCTCTCGCGGCCTCGCTGTCTGCGATTGGCATGGACCTGGCCGGCCCGCCGCCTGAGACCTTGGTCGCGTTCAGGCAGGGAGCTTTCTGGGCGTTCCGCCCGAGGGGCAGCGAGTGGGTCTGCGTGCCATTGGGATCTGCGCGCCATTGGGCCTCGGGCGGTGGGGCGCGCGGAGGTCATTGTAGCGTTGCGGCTTCTGGTCGAGCGACTTAGGCGACGGCGTCAGATGCCAGAGTTCTTCCGCGCTGCTGCTCAGGGTCCTTGAGGCCCGATCGGCCCTGGCCAGAGGTTCGCCGATGTCTCGCTGGAGCTTGACCGGCAGCGGCCCGTGCCCCGCGTCGTGCGCGCGGAGACGTGCGCGAGGATCGATTGGATCGCGCGCCCCAATGGATGCCTCGACCATGGACTTCGCTCGTCAAAGCGACGGCGGTGTGAGAAAGAGACTCCTCGCGTGATGAAAGACAGGGGATTCTGGCGGCATCCGCGCAGCGCCAGGGCGCGCTCGACAGCGCCTGGCCTCTGTGCGAGAAGCGGCAGGCACGCGAGCTGGTAGCGCAAGGCCGGTCGATTGTCGAGAGCCAAGCTCAGCGAGGATCCCGGCCCAAATTGTCGACTTTGCAGTGGGGCTGAGGAGGCGCAGGAGCGCGCGTCGAGATGTCGCCCGGCCTGGGTGGCCCACCGAGAGCCCCTCCAAGAGTTGATTGACGATGGGGAGTGGGCCGCGCTCCATCCTTGCACTTGGTGCTGCAGGATTTGTCGATGTTTCTTGGAGTTTCGCAGTGCAATGAGCCTGGGCCCCCCGCAAGTTCGCCCGCGCTCTCCGCGGAGCATAAGACCCGTGATGAGCATGACCGCGCTGTGGAGCTTTTCTCCGTGTAAGAAGTCGACGGGGGATTGTCTGGCCCGTGAGTCTTGGTGGCGACGGATGGGGTGTGTGCTAATGCAAACGAGTTTCTTCTTCCCGGGGAGGGCTTCGCCGTCTTCTGCTGAGCTATCTATAGGTTGGTCGTGGACGAGTTCTTCGGCCTCTCCGGTTGGTCCAAAGGGCCGAGACTCTCGCTGTTGCCCATGCCATTGCTACATGTAAATCCCCGGTCCATCTGTACGTTGAAGGCGTTGATGTTGCGACGAAGCTCGAAACCCTTTCAAGCGGAGGCCCCCTGCGGAGCCCTGAACGCCCCGATGTTTGGGGGCGAATTTGCGTCGGCGTCCAAGCCCGTCCTTCCATGGCCCATGAAAATATCTGCGCCACCCGCCTGAACTCCCACTTGAAAGTGAAAGTGGTCGATGACGGTATAATTACGGTAGTTTAAGAAGCTTTGAGCCGATGGGGGCGGTGAGGCCGCTTAGTTCCTTGCAGTTTGCAGCAAACGTGATGTGTCAGACCTGGTGCTTTTTGAAGTGACACGACGTGCGTTGCAAACCATACCACTACATCGAGTTATTTGCCCCATCTGTTTGGCGCGAGATAGCCTGCTCCCCTTCCTAGGCCGCACCGCGGGTTACATGGGCGCCCACCTTGTTTAATCAACCCCATTTCAATGCTGCTGCCGCAGCCGCCGCCCCCGACGCCTCCGACGGAGTCTCCCCCCCCGCGAATCCTTGGGCTGGTGTTGATCCTGGGCTTGACCCGTTCAACGACATTTACGATTTTGGGGCTGCCCTCGAGCGCGAAAATGTCGGGGGGGGGGGGCACCTTTTTGGATTGGGTTTCGAGCACACTTGTGCTGGTCTGTTGCCCCGCTACGTGCCCTCAACTTTTTCGGTGCGCCGTCTCGTCGGGGGCGGGTAGTGGAGCGATTGTCTGGAGGCAACGGTTCGCGGTGCATGTTTCTGCCAAGTCGTGCATCGAACCTTTTGTGACGTGGCGTTCTGACGTGCACCCGTGGTTGCAGAATTATACATGATGTGTGGACAGGGGCCCCAGTATGGGGCCCAGCCGGCAGACACGTGATATCTCCTCGATTCCCTCTTCCTCCTCTTTCTCCTCCTCCTTTTCCTCCTCCTCCTCCTCCTCCTCCTCCTCCCTCTCCTCCCCCTTCGAAGTGTCCAATCATATCCCATTTCCCCCTCTTCTCCCTCCTCTCCCTTCTTTCCCCGTCCCCCCCTGGCTCCCCTCCTCGCCCCCCTCCTCGCCCTCACCACCTCATCCCCATTCCTCCCCCCCTCTCCTCTGCCCCCTCTTCCCTTCCCCTCTTCTTCCAGCCCCCCCCCCTCACCCCCCCGACGCGCCCAACCTATTCCTTTCTCCATCGACGCTCCCCCTTCGTTTTTTCTTGTCGTTTCTCCCCCTCGGTTGACACGCGCTGGCTGGCGTGAGCCGTCGCGTTTTTGACGGCCGCGCTCCGAGAAAACAGACAGATCGGGACGCAACGCTCGATCCATCTCGCAGACGTGTCACCACGGCGCGTCCACCATCGGAAATCGAAGGGCGTAGAACATTGGACTGGAAAGGAGGTCCCCCCTCGCTTCCTCTCAGGTGGAAAAAAAACACACACAGACACAATTAATCGTCGATCCCCGGGAAAATATGGGAAAATATGGGAAGTGGGGGGGAAGACAAAAATCCCGAAAATATGAGAAAGTATTGGGGATCTGGTTATTTGTGTCTATTTATTTGTGTGTCCCCGAGTTCCCCTTCATCTTCCCTCCCCCCCGGGGTCCATTTCGGTCCGGTCGATCCGATTCGACGTCGATTTCGGCTGGCCCGATACGATTCGATTCTGGTATCCCGACGATGCGACGCGGCCCGAGGACTGTACGGCGCTGTTGTGCATCCTGCCGCGGCCGACTCGATTTGGATCCGACTCCGTGCCGATGGGGAGACCAAAAGGTACCGATACCGCTACTCCCCCGAACTCTCCCATGGTGCGTTCTGACAAGGATATCGTGGCGAATCCAGCGGCGGCGACGAGGGCTTCCCAGGAGGCCCAAAACGAGGAAAACGAGCGAAGGGTAGCGATATGGGTACCTTTTGCTCCTCCGACGTGCCGATGCAGCCCGACGCGGTGCACATTTCCACTGCGTCCGATCTGCCGATGCGATGCTGGCGGATCGTGCCCCCGCGCAGCCCAGTCGGCGCGACAGCGGCTGCGCCGGCCCCGGCCCGCTTCGCCCCGCGAGGGCTTCGTGGCCGGCAGCGACGCGGAGGCCCAGCTGGGCGGCGCCGGCGGAGAGGGGCCACCCCCGCGCCGCGTGCCGCTTTGCTCGTGCGCCGTGCAGCGTTCCGCGGCCCACTTCGATCCGATGGCTCCGATCCTCAAGCAGTGGCGAAACGCTCTGGCTCGCCTAAAGGCCACCAAAGAATGTTCTAAGAACCTTTCGTGGTCTGCACGAGCTGCTCTTAGAACATCTCTGGCTGAGTCTGTCTCGTTTTAACACATCGGGCTGTTGTTCTAAGAACATTGGTTTTGTTATTCTGACATTTCTGGGTTCTAAGAGCACATCGTGGTAGGCCTATAGGAATGATGGGACGGTCGGTCCCTGCTCAAGATTCGATGTCGATTTCGGCTGGGTCGATCCGATGCGAGGCCGACGTCCCGACCCCGTCCAGTGTGTGGCCCGAGGCTTCCACGGCGCTGTTGTGCGTCTTGGCGCAGCCAGTATCCGATCTATGGTTTAGCCAGTGTCCCGACGCGGTGCTGACGGATCCTGGCGTGCCCTGTTCTGGTGGCCGTCCGCCTGAGGCCCCGCCCGCCTGTGCTCTGTCTCCCCAAGTAGTGCTTTGCGCGGCCCGCCTAGCTCTTGACCGGAAGAGGCTCGCTCTCGACCCGCAGACCAAACAAAAGTGCTGGTGGCCGCGGCTTCGCCTTGCCCAGTCGAGGGTCCAGGGGCGGAGCTCGACTTTTTTTTCTCCCCAGGATGCGTGCCCAGGCTGCCCAGGCTGCCCCAGGGGTTCGGCAGCCCTTGAGCCGCGATGCGTTTGCAGCCCCGACCTGTGGCTTGCCCCAGCTTCACCCCGACGTGCCCCGAGTTAAGCCGCGGTTCTGCCATGACTTTGCTATGTTTCTGCGTGTCGCTTGCGGCTTTCCACTTTCCCCTCCCCACGTCCCCCTCTTGTCTTCTTCCTTGCTCCTTCCTCCTTTCCCCGTCTTGCTCTCTCCCCACCTTTTCCTGCACCCCTCCTCCCTCCCTCCTCCTCCTCCTTCCTCCTTCCTCCTCCTCCCTCTTCCCTCGCTCCCTCTCCGCTTGTCGCTCCTCTCCCTTCTCTCGCATCCTTCTTGCCTTCCTCCTCTCCTCCATCCTTCCTCTCCCCTCCCTTCCTCCCCTCTCCCTTTCGTCCTCCCGACGCTCTTCGGCCCGTCCGGTCTCTTCCGCTCCCCTCCCGTCTGCGCTGCCTTGCTCCGCCCACGCTCTCTGTCTTCCCCCTGTCTCTCCCTCTCTCTCGCTCTCGCTCCCTCCCTTTTTTCTAATGATTCTCTTTCTCAATCCCCAACTCTCTCTCTCTCTCTCTCTCTTCTCTCTCTCTCTCTCCTTCCCTCTCTCTCTCTCTCTCTTCCGCCACTCTCGCTCTAACGTCCCTCCTCTCGCTCCCGCTCGCCCTCTCCAGCCCTGCAAGTTTGTTTGACATCGTTCCGCCTCCTGCCTTCCTTCGGTGGTGCGCTCGCGTGCGCGTGCGTCTGCGTGTGCGTTGCGCATGGAGTGAGTGAGCCTTTGAAGGTCGCCTCTATAAGCTTGCCACGAAGTAGGCCAGTAAGAGCAGTGGAAGTAGTAATAGTAGTATACGTAGAAGTAGTGGTTGCAGGTAGTAATAGTAGTGGTGGTGGTGGTGGTGGTAATAGTAGTAGTTGTACCTGTAGTAGGCGTAGTCGTAGTCTTATTCGTAGTTGTAGGTTGCTGTAGTAGCCGCCTGTTCTGCCTCCTCGTCGCGGCCCGCGGCTGCAGCTGGTGGGCCTCCCCGGTGCTCCTTCCCCGCCCGCTCCCGGACCCCCCCACACCTGCTCCTCCACGATGGCCGCCACGAGGGAGCGAACGTTTCTTCGCGGCTCGCGATTCGCGATGCATCACCCTCATTTTCCTGCTCCTTCTCGTTTTCCCAGGGGGGCGGCGCCAGATACCGCGAAGCTGTTCGAAGGTTTCTTCGCGGCTCGCGATTCGCGAGTCATCGCCCTCATTCTCCTGGTCCTTCTCTTCTTCCCAGGGGGGCGGCGCCAGATATCTCGCGAAGTCGTGCTCGCTTCGCGCTCTGCGCGCTGGGTTTTGCAGGCAGAAGTGCCCTCGATTCCTCGCCTCCTTTCCTCAGGCAGGTGCGTGCTCTCGGTCGTGTTTCAGCTCTTCTCACTTGCACGGCTTCCTCTGACGAGCGAGCAACTCTAAGTCATAAGTACCCAGAAAGGGATCGCAGGGAGGAGGGCTGGCTATCGATATGTGTGCAGGTTGTCGGACCGCGGGCGAGGCTTCCATTCGAGCGGGGACCCCCATCCGACAACACGCACCCGTGGCCTCCTCCATCCCCCTATGGGTCTGTGTGTGTGTGTGTCTGTCTGTCTGTGTGTGTGTGTGTGTCTGTCTGTGTGCGTTCTTCGTTCGTCATCCTCTGCCCGCCCCCCAACCGGGGATCGCATGGTACCGCCTGGACGCTCCGACCCAGGCGTCGCTGCATTTATCTGCCCGTGTCCGCAAGCCGCCGTCGCTGCGGGCGCCCGCTGCGGACGCCCGCTGCGTCGGCGGAGGACAACGCTGTGCGTGCGCACATCTCGGGCGTCTGACCGCTGGTGTCGCTGAGCGCCTTGCCGCCGTGTGCAACGCTCGGGGCCATCGACACGGGCACGGGTAAATGGGTACATAGCCCAACAGCAGCTCTGTGTCCAGTCTGAACAGGGTTCGCTGCGGCGTCGCCTGCCCCCACAGCGGCCGCTGTCGGCTTTGGATAACACTTTGTTGTTGGGCCTCGTGCCCAGTTGTTCTCTACCTATTTCGGGCGTGCAGAAGCGCGCGCGTGTGTGTGTATGCGTGTGAGTGAGTGTGTGTGTGTGTGTGCGTGAGTGAATGTGTGTGTGTATGTGTGTGAATGCGCGAGTCTGTCTGCGCGGGCTTCCCGCGAGGCACCCGTCCAGGCCGCTCGGAGGGGCTCGATGCGTGCGTACACCACGCCGGCTGGGTCGGCCAGAGAGCCAAGGAGTTCGGCGAAGGCGTGCGGTGCACAGACGCTCCATCGTTCCACACAGGTCGGGCAGCTGGGGCGTCGATGCCCCGAGCATGTTGGCCGACCAAAACGACGTGGTGTATACACGTCGCAGCTCCTCCCAGCTGCTCGGAGGTCTCGCGTCACCGCCTGGTGGACGCTGGGGCTGCCAGTCTGGTGCACGCTCCAGGCGAGGTGGCCAGTTCGGGGTGAACGCTCCACGTTTCCATGCACCAGGTGATTGCGGCCCACTGCCGCGCTCGAGTCAACAGTGTTTGTGTGTGTGTGTGTGTGCAGCGGCGGCGTGTGTAATAATCCTCGGTCACCTTTGCTTCCGACCTCCCCTGGTGCCCTCGCTACACATGTCGCCCGCTCAGGCCATGTGACTCCGCTGGTCTGAAAGTTTGGCGTCCTTGTCGGCCTGACATGATGCTGAAAGCAGTTGGGAAGCAGGCGGATGAGAGGAGTTCGTGCGCACAGCATCATGGCGCGTGCCATGGTGACAGTCTTGCCGCTTGATTTGGGCAGGCCTTGTTTTTGCTGTGTAGTGTGGCGTGTTCGTGCTGTGATGGAGTAACACTGCGCCGGTCGACGCGGAATGTTGAGTAGCAGGAGATGCGTCCAGGCGACACGAGTTTCACAAACTTCATTTCGAACAGTGCTTCTTGAATGATATGCTACCATTGGAACGTGCAAACAACAACATTAATATTTCGTCGTTGGCAGGGAGAGTAGGGACGGGAGGAGGAGGAGGAGGAGAACAAGGGCGAGGACGAGGACGACGATGAGGAGGAGGAGGAGGATGAGGAGGAGGAGGATGAGATGGAGGAGGAGATGCAGGAGGAGGAGGAGGAGGAGGAGGAGTGAAGAGTGAGGAGTGAGGAGGAGGAGGAGGAGGCGGAGGAGGAGGAGGAGGAAAAGGAGGAGGAGGAAGAGGAGGAATACAAACAATAATAACACTAATACTACCAATCCGAAGAATAATGAGACAACATAAGAATAATAACACGAATAATCACACTCATACTAATAATATTCATACTAAGAATAATCATAATAGAGGAGTGGGAGGAGGAGGAGGAGGAGGAGGAGGAGGAAGAGGAGGAGGGAGGAGAGGAGGCTGGGGGCAGGCCAAGGGCAGCTGGCAGCCGCCGCCTGCGGCTCGCGGCCTGGGCAGCCAGGCCACGCGGTCGGGCTCGACGAGATGAGGCCGCGCCGCGCGGGAGCAGAGACGCGCGCGGCTTCTCTCATCGTTGCCGCTCCCGTCGCTCGCCCGTCCTCCCCGCCTCTGGCGGCGCTCCAAAGGGGGGCGGGGCGGGACCTCTCAGAGTCAGGCAGTGGCGAAGCGTCCTGGCGTGCCTGTAGGCCTACCAAACGATGTGCTGAGGACCTTTTTGTGGTTTCGACGAAAGGTTCTCAGAACATTTCTGGCTGGGACTGTCTTGTTTCGACACATCGGGTTAATGTTCTAAGAACATTGTTTTTGTTCCTAGAACATTTCTGGGGTTTGAGAACGTGTCGTGGTAGGCCTATAGGAATGCCGGGACGGTCGGTCCCTGCTCAACAGAAGGCGGCGAGGCTCCTCAGACCCCCCCCTTGGCCTTCCGAGAAGCCGTCTCCGCCGTCGGGGAAAAGTCGTGCGAGTCGGCCCGGCCCGCCTGCCTTCCCCTCTGGGCGCGCCGCGGACTCGTTCCCCCCTGGGGCGGAAGAGCGCCGCAACGCCGCAGCTCGTCGGTTCGGCCGCGCGCGTGCGGACAGTGGATCGTTAGAACCGGGTCCCTCGCGAGACGTGCGGTGCTTCTAAAACAGGTCATGCGCACAAGCGCAAGCTACAGTTAAACCCGCATCGTAAGGGTGGGCAACCTTCCCAAGGGTGCCCTTGCATCCTGGCCTCCTCGGTCCATCCTTCGCCGCTTTCGCTGGCCGCGCCCCGCTCGAACAGCTTCTAAATGGGCGTCCAAGGCCCTTGCATCCTTATCGCGCATCCTTACTATACTGGTTGACTGTAGGCCTCGCTCCGCCGCACAACGATACCATACCTCTCATCAACTTAGGTCTGGGTTGTACTTTCTGTTCTTTCGTTCATTTTTGCTATGCTGTCAGTTTCTTTGCGTGCAGAACCCGTGCTGTTGCTCTGCCAGGCAGGTAGGTATCTGCATAATCTGCGTGGGGATCCCGTGTAGAACCAGATGCAGTGCAAGTTGTGCTATTGCGAAGGCCTTACGGCCGGTGCCGCCGACCCTGAATGGCGACGACGACGACGACGACGACGACGAGCGCTCTTGGGGGCCTCTTGGCGGTAGTTAGTGGGCCTCTTGGGAAGCTCTTAGGGGCCGCTTGGAAGCCTCGTGGGGGCCTCTTGGGGCTTCCTGGGGGTCTCTTGGAGGGGGCCTGGGACGTCTTGGAGGCTTCTTGGACGGTCTTGGGGCTATCTTGGGCGTTCTCGGCCGATCTTTGGGCGACTCGGGGCCCTCTTGGGCCGTTTCGGGGGCCATCTTGGGCATTCGGACCTCATTTGGAGTGTTTTCGACGTTTCTAGGCCGCCCGAGGAAAAACGAATCTGCCCCCCCACCCTCCCCGGGACCCCCCCCGGGACCCCCCCCCCCTCCTGGGGAAGGGATCAAAGGGAAGGGGCTTCCCTTCGACTCGATTACGACACTGCTGGATGTTTCTCTCGCTCACGAGCTTGAGAAGGAAGCGTCAGGGAAAGGGGACGACGGAGGCGACGACCGACGGAGACGACGACTCGAACAGCCAAGCCCCTCGCACACGCCGACAGGGTCGGCGGATTTCCGAACACTGACTGGGATACTGGGCGCACGGGCTTGCCACAGGGAGGAAGGATGGAGGAGAGAGAGGGAGACAGGCGGGACAGATGAGAGAAAAGCGAAGGATACGGGGGCTTGTTGGTGCCTCCTTGAGTTGTCTGAAGGCTCGTTTGGGACTCCTGTGGGCCATCTTGGTGGCCTCTTGGAGCCCCCTCGAGTTGGCTTGGGGCATGTCTGGGCCTTCGGGGGGCTTCGTCGTGTGCGTGTGTGTGCGTATACAATCGAGGCTGATTAGTAGGTTGATCCTGCCAAATCAAGGGTACCCATGAGTCCCGTGTTTCGCGACCCATGCTTTCTGTCTTCCTATGGCAATGTGGCCCTCGGAAAGGGACTCGTGTCCTCTCGCGTGTCCTCTTCAATCAGCCTCGACTGCATGCGCGTGCGAGAGAGAGAGAGAGAGAGAGAGAAAGAGAGAGAGAGAGAGAGAGAGAGCGAGGGCGCCACCCCGCGAGCGCGCGCGCCCGCCCGCCCGCCCTTTCGGTGACTCTCTCCGCGCGCGAGGCCGCGGCCGCAAAGTCAGTGTGTGCGTCTGTGTGTGTGTGTGTGTGTGTGTGTGTGTGTGCGTGCGTGCGTGCGTGCGTGCGTGCGTGCGTGCGTGCGTTTGTACGTGTGTGTGTGTGTCGGTGGCGAGCGACTGGGGACGTGAGAAGGAGAAGGCCTTCTCACAAGGCCGTGGGACTTCCGAGTCTTCTGCGAAGGCCCGCCCCTTCTCACCTCCCCCCCTCGTTCGCCGCCGACTGTGTGTGTGTGTGTGTGTGTGTGTGTGTGCGTGCGTGCGTGCGTGCGTGCGTGCGTGCGTGCGTGCGTGCGTGCGTGCGTGCGTGCGTGTGTGCGCGCGTGCGCCCGCAGTCCTTCAGCGTTTGGTTTGACAGGGCTGGTGGGCCAACTGATGATGGGGTGCCCGCGCACGTTCCAGCGTTTGCCGCCGTGTTCACGGTGCTCTGGCATTCAAAAGACATGGTTTTGGACGCGGTCGTTCACCCTGGTCGGCGGCCAGTTGAGTGGGGGACAGGGTGTTCATTATCAGGGAGCACTTTAACATGACAGTCAGCAGGTGGTGGAGGAGGAGCTTGCCCCGAGTCCGTGCGGACCAGGCCAATCCTCATGCAGACGCTCCAGCTCATTATTCAGAGGACCCGGAGCAACCGCGTTCGCTTGTTCGTCCAGCTCCTCCTCCTCCCTCCTCTATCCTCGCTCTCCTCTCTCCTCTCATCTTCGTCCCGCTTTCCCTCACTCCTCCTCAATTGAGATGATCCTTCCTTCTCATTCTCCTCCCCTTCTCCTTCCTCAGTGTCCCCGCTTGCTCCTTGTCCCCGGCCCTCGCCCGCCCCCTCCCCGGTCCTCGAGACCTTGAGCCTGGAGCGCGAGAGAGCACAGCCACCAGGGCGGACAACTGCACCCACAGAGCCATGGAGTTCGGTGCCTCTCCACTTCTGACCTTTGAACGGCGTGCCCGTCCGCGCGGGCCTGCCGCCCCGCCCCGTGGGGCGAGTGGCTGGTGGTGGGGGGAGGGGTCCGCGCAGACGACGTCGACAACGACGAGGACGATACGAATGAGACCCATCGGCACAAACATGCATCTTGTGATGGGCCTGTTTTCCACCACCACCATAAGTTGGAGGGGAGGAGGAGGAGGAGGAGGAGGAGGAGGAGGAGGAGGAGGAGGAGAGGAGGAGGAGGAGGAGGAGGAGGAGGAGGAGGAGGAGGAGGAGGAGGAGGAGGAGGAGGAGGAGGAGGAGGACCCCCTCTCCCCCTCCAGCCTCTGGTGGTGGTCAGTGGTGGTGGAAGACAGGCCCGCCATCTCGTGGAGGTCCGCGCGGGCGTCCTGGGTCGGCGCGCGGGGCCGCCCCGCCCGCGGCGCCTCCGGCTCCCTCCGCTGTCGCGCGAGCCCCCGTGCCGGGGCGGGCGGCCGAGCGCCGATCCGGGAGGCCTGCGCCGGGGCTGGATCGGGAGCCTCGAGACGGGGGTCAGTGCAAACGCCGTTTGCACTGAGCCCCGTCTCGAGGAGGAGGAGGAGGAGGAGGAGGAGGAGGAGAGGAGGAGGAGGAAGGAGGAAGGAGAGGAGGCATTGACCCCCGTTTAACGGGGTCAATGCCTCCTCCTCCTCCTCCTCCGCCTCCTCCTCCTGTGTTATGCTCATTTCTCGACCTGCCGCTCCCTATAGAGGCACGGGCGCCTCGAACCAGCTGCACCGGCACGCGGAGGCGTGGCAGGCGTCGGGAGCCTCGAGACGGGGGTCAGTGCAAACGGGGGTCAGCCTGGGCACCGGATCCTGCAGGATCCTGCGAAGTCCCCCTCTGGCTGACCCGGGTGAGCGGGCCGCTCGTGGCCGCGAGGCGGCCGCGCATATTGGCTGACTCCGGGTTTGCGAAGACCTGCGTTGCAGTTTTTTATGTTTTTTTTTTTTGTTTTGTTTTTTTTTTCTCTGCATTGCCGTTTTTGGTTTCCTGCTGACCCGGGTCTGGATTGACCCGGGTCAGAAGATCCCCGACTGGACCTAAGCGTTGTTTTTCATTCTGGTTTTCGTTTTGCTCTGCCTGCTTGGCTGGACCTCCCTCCCAAAGCGAAAAACAAAACACATATCCCCGTCCCCATGCCTCCTCGGTATCGTTTAGCCAACCCCCATCCCCATCCCCATCCCCTTCGAGACCCCCACCAAATTACCCCCCCAGTTGGGGATGAACCCCTCGAAACCCGAAGGGGACGGCCTACATCCCAATTTAGGGGGATAAATCGGCCAGTGGGGTCCAGGCCACGCCGCCGGGGATGGGGATCGGACGAACTTACTCAGATCCGGGAGGTCTGCGCGGAGCTCCGAAGGTTCCTGTGAAGAACGCTGCCTCTGACCCCCCCAGGCCCTATTATACGAGGCAGGCGCGTGCCGGAACGGCGAGGGGCCTGGGGGCAGGGCTCATCTCAAATCGGTTTCTCCGATCCGATCCGATTCGATTTCGACGGCTTCCGATTCCGCTTCGATTCGAGTTTGACTTCGATGTGGGCTCCGATTCCTCACTGGAGGCACACTCGCCTGCCGATCTCCGCCGCTTCGACTTCTCCCGACTCGGCTGCCGATTTCTGCCGCTCCGATTCATCTCGATCGCCGATCCGACTTGTCGATTCGATTCTGGCAGGAGGGGAAAAAACACACAGACACAAATAATCGTCGATTCCCCAGAAAATATGGGAACATATGGGAAGTGGGGGGGAAGACAAAAACCCAGAAAGTATGGGAAAATATGGGGAATCCTTTTATTTGTGTGTACTTATTTAATCGCTTCGCTCATTCCGCCGGCCCATACAGTCTCATGTCTGCCGTTTGCCCGAGGGCCTGGTCTCAATGCGGCGCTTTGGGGGTTCTTTTGCCAGGCGTCTCGGGAACC